ATTGCTCGGATTGTAGAGTTCAGGGGCTTAAATGCATCAATTAGAGTCTAGGGGCTTAATAGCGATTCTGGGGTTGGTTCAGGGGCTTAACTTATGGTTTTGCCTTTTTTTGGCAGGATAAAAAATGTGGGAAAAAACCAACATTTTAGGTTTTTATCTTACAAAATTGATAAGTTTTAATTTTTTATCTTATAATATGATATTTTTAATCTTTTATCTTACAAATTTAATAGATTTTAGCCCTTTACTTTACAAAGTTGGTAGGTTTTAACCTTTTACCTTATATTATGACATTTTTAGCCCATCATCTATACAAATTAAAGAAAATAACCCTCATCTAATATCATATTATAACATTCTGTTAATTTTATTAACTGACTGTTAACATTCGTTAGCATTTTGTTATAGAAAATATGAAATTTAAATTTAATTTTATCTGTTAGTTTTATTAACAGAATGTTAACGGATACTAACAGTCAACTAATAGAACTAACAGTCAACTAGCAAAACTAATAGTCAATTAACAGAATTAACAAAATATTATAATATGATGTTAAGTGAAAGCTATTTTCTTCAATTCATATAGATAAAGGCTAAAAGTGTCATAGCATAAGGTGAGGGACTAAAAACTATCAATTTTATAACGTGAGAGATTAAAATCTACCAATTTTGTACGGTAAAGGGTTAAAAATGTTATATTATAAGGTTATGAGTTAAAATCTATCAATTTTGTAAGATGAGGGACTCAAAATTGATTTTAACCAAAAAAAAAAAGTGTCTTGTACCATAACAAAAAGAGCACGCGGAAAATCTGAGTAATAATGACGACGAAATTTCCTAGCAAAGAAGCTCTAGGATAATCGGTTGGGTATTGGTTTTCAAATTTTGTTTTAAAAATTAATTTTTGAATTTTTTTTAAATTAATTTTTAAATTTATGAGAAAAAATTTACTCTCTAAGTAAATTATTTTTTAAATTTTGCCAAATGCCTTCATAATGATCATACAAAAAAATAATAAAATAGATTAAAATTTAAGGCCAAAATTTAATATTTATAATGTGATGTAAGTAATATCATTTAAATATTAAAAGATAAATATTATATTTTTAATAATAATTTTTTTTAGATATGTAATATTATATATAAAAATTAATTTAATTATATAATTTATATCATATCATTAATTCTAAATTTTCATCCTTGTATCATTAGTAAAAAAAAAGAAAACCCTAATAATGTACTTCATAAGTTTTGATCCTTGCTATCTAATTTAATTTAGTCATCATGCTTTATTTATTTATAATTATTAAATAAATTCATTTATAATAATTAAAATTTATTTTTTATTTTCACTCCTTATTTACAATTAAATAAAATATTCCTAACACATTTCTATCTCTTCTAGTATATTGATAAAATTGAAATATTAACATTTAATTTCTTTTTAAAATGAAAAATAGGAAAATTGAATCAAACTACTTTTATTTAGAAAGTAAGACGGCTAAATTAAACAAAAAGAATTATTAAGTACTCTTTTTATCTCAAAATAAATATTATTTTTTATTATTTTTTCAAATTAAAAATATAATTTATGTGATTGCCTGTATTACACTTAAAAGAGGATAAAAAAAAAAAACTTTCTATGATATAATTAAAATAAGTAAATGACAATAAGGTTAAACTAAAAAGAAAATATTTTTTTATCTTAAAAACTAAAAAAAAATTTAATTGAAGATAAATTCAAAATAAAAAATTTAAAATTATTTTATGATAAATTAATTTTCATTATTTTATATTTTTAAATTAAAAAACTATTATTATTAACTAATTACTCCTACTTATTCAGGACACAACAGAAAATCAGTTTAATCAAACATACTCTCTGAAATCTGAATGAGAGAGAATAATATCCTCAGTTGAGAAGATAAATTAATAGTGTGGTATTAAGTACCAACCAAACCAATAATACACCCAATTATTGAGAACGTCCAAAGAACAGGGCTCAGAAGGGTCACTTTCCACATTCAATTAATGAAATGAACTGACGGTTATGACCCTATCCACGTCGACCATGATAAGGCCTTATCCTGCAGGCTGCTTGACCTGACGTAGACTTGGACAACTGTGTCCATAGGATAATGGGTGGAGTGCAGAGATTTTTCTCATCTTATCTTACGTGGCAAGCTTAACTCTTTGGGTCTTTTCATCATTGGATTTGCACATTGTTGGTAGTAGTCAAAATCTAAATGTTTTTTTTTTAAATTAATTTTTTAATATTTAATAATTACATTAGATTTTATTTAATTTAAAATTAAATTACATCAAAACTGATAATGAAAAAACTTTTTCAATATCTAATTTTTTATTTATTAAACTCAAATTCAAAATTTTATTTTAAAAAAATCAAATTCCCTTCGCTTAAACAAATAATTCATTAGTGTTTTTCTTCCTCAATGATTGATCACGCCCATAACCTTTTTTTTCCAAGCCCAGTCCATCAATAACAATACACCCCCCTACATCATGGGCCTCTTGGGGAGGGGAAGTTTATATTACTTGGGCTCTTTACGACACTCTCATCTGGTGGGCTGGATTTTATTTTATTTTATTTTATTTTATTATTATTTTTACGTAAGATGGATAGTTTAGTTAGGAAAGAGTTGAGAAGCAACCCTCTCATCCCATCTCCCATTTCCTTACTCCATCTGCATGTCATCATGGTACTTGATTAATTCTTGATAATGTATGTTTTGACAGTGGTATGTAATTCAAGGGAAAAAACAAAAGAAAATTATGAAAATAATTCATAGTCTCATCTTACGTACAAAAAGAGTTTTAGGATCTTACCTGGTAATTTTTGTAATGAATTCTTTTCATGAGACATAAATCAATGTGTAACTATTATAAAATGGGAGGCAACAATACAATTCCATCTTCCATTTCTTTAGTCCATTTGCATGTCATCATATTGTACGACTTGAATTATTGATAAAGCATGTTTGATAATATTAAATAAATCAAGTGATAATCTAAAAATAATTTTGAAAACAATTCATAGTTTTATCTCAAAATTAGTTTTTTCAATTTTACATAATAATTTTTTAATTGATTCTTTTCATAAGATGTGAATCACAATATTCATCCACTTCTTTGAGTATAAAATTTCATTATGAAATTATATTATGTGTATTTTAGATAATAGCATGTTTGGTTTATTTACTTGGATGAATTCTTTTTTCTCCCTTTTTCTCGATTTTTTTTGTTAAGTAATTGAATAGAGGAATTATCTCACCTCCCCTCTAGTTCCCTAAACCAAACATACCCTCAAATCATACCTGCAATAAAACTCTTATCATACATACAAATTGCACAAAGCTATTGCATTCATGTGATATGAAAATGGATATCCTGTACTAGTTGTCATCTGGCCAAATTGCTAAACCACTGACCTTAATGTTGCAGGTATCCAAGATTTATTACGAACAGTCAGAAACTTTAATGTAAATCAAGTGTGAAGAAAAAACTTCCCTCTTTTTATTACAAATGGTTACTAAATTATTGACTTTAATAAAGTTGCAATCTTTTCTTATCACATAATTAAGCAGAAATCTCTCTTAACTTTCTTAATATAAAACTTATTTAAACATTTTTTATCAACTTTTTATATATTAATTTCGTATCAAACTTTTCTTATATCTATTTTTATCAAATATTAAAAAGTTTACAATCCTAATAAAATTTTATTACAATATCAGCATCTTTTTAACTATTTTTTCAATAAAAATTTTATTAATAAAATTAGTATTTAGCCAACTATATAGGCTATAAAAAAAATTGTCAGCGATCAACATCAACCCAAAATTTCTCCCAGGTTGCCGCCCTGCCAGAGGAATGCCTAATGCATATCTATCTATCACTTTCTAATTTCCATAATAATCAATTAATTTTACACAGTAAATGTTGAACATATGATGACAAATAAGAGAGAGAAAGAGAGAGTAAATTGGCGTCGTTGCAAACCAAGAATAATATTTCTACCAATCTGATGCCAGTGCTACATCTACCAATCTGGATTAACAAATACTTTCTTGTTTTTGTGTTTTTTTTAATAAGACAGTTCTATTGGTTAAAACTTTTATAAAGTAAAGAGATAGAGTGGAAGAATAAGAGTTTGAATTTTGATCATATAAGTGAGGAAACGCATTTTACTAATAATTTGACTAATCACTTTACAAGTTTTTCTCTTTTGATTTTTATTATAATTAGATATTTTATAGATATAAAAAAGTTATGATTTGTCTACTTTATTTAAATTATACATTTTATAATAATCAATTAATAAAATATAAATTTTTTAATATTAGAATCATCCTTCTCTATTAATAACAATAAAATTTAAAGTCAATATAAGACGGTAAAATAGCTCTCTTATAGCTATACGTCACCTAAGGAAAAAACCATCCTCAGATAAAATCTTCCTAGGGAACGAGAAGAAAATTTTCCTCTTAACCAACAGTTCCTGTTGTAAATTGGATTTTGCCCCCGGACTGATGAACCCTGTCAATTGTTATTGCGGTACAAGTTATCGGCAAATCTCAATTGGACGAAACAAGCTAGACCACCTGTCCAGAATGAACACATGAAACATACATTAAGAATACAAAAACCTACCCCGGTTACATCCCGAATCCCCTAGTGTAATACTAGACGTAATAATTTCTTTCTTTATTTTTATTGGAATCACGACTTTGGTAATAAGGCACGTCTGATGGACAGTTTCAACCAGTCTTCTCTTTGTCTGTGTATGGCAAAATCTCCAATCCCTCAGTTCTTAGCTCCCTTGCAAACCCCTACACCTCTTATCCCCTCTCTGCAGCATTCTCATAAGTAACTGATTTAAGAATTTTTATTGAGTGAGAACAAATATATTCTGAGGCACTTTTTTTCTGATAGGTACTTTGAAGATTAAATTCTTGCTAAATATATATGTTCTCTATATAATTCTTTGTTCTTTGTGTGTGATTAATTGATGGGATTTTAGGGGAAATATTCAGGTGCTCTGATGGGTTTGGGTAAAGAACAGAGGGATGAAACGATTGCGACGAGTTCACTTGGGGAGAGAGTTGGGAGGTTTGTGAAAACATATGCAGCTTGCTTTTGGTCGTTCCTGGTGAGCATCGCCGGGGGTGTGATGTTGGGATGGTGGGAGTACGCGTATCATCCCTCCAATCGTCAATTATGGATGGTGCCTTTTGGTCTTATTCTCTTCTCCACTCCGGCCTTCATTTGGTTTGCTGTTTTTGTTTCGGATTTCTGCGATTGTTCGGAGGTTGACCAGCTGCCGGTAAAACAATCGGACGTCTTAGTTCGTGACCCGGAGAGGTCATCAGATGATATCAAACCAAACAAGTACTAATCACATAGGTGATTGTTTTTTTTATGTGAAATTTTCTCAAGAGTGATTTTGCTACAGTATACAAATCAAAATTATATAAATATAATTTCTTTCACCAATTTTCGATTTGGGTTTTTTATGGTTTTTTTTTTTTTTCAGTTTGTTTAGGATAATATAGGGTACAAAGTTGCATTTTTTTGATACAATATTGGGTGCAGAGTTAGTATACCAATTAAGCACGCAAAAACCCAAAAAATAAAAATAAATTTAAATACCCACATTTAATTACATTTCTCAGAAGGTAACTTTATGAAGTTTTTGCCTTGCAAATACATTTTAAAATATGTAATCAATTCCTTTCTATCATAATAGATTACAATGTAAAAAAAATCATTTTATTTTATTTTTAATTTTTGTACCCGAATTGTTGAGCCAAACCTGTCCAAAATTTGTGTGCTTCCCAGGAAAACTAGGCCACCAAACAGAGCCTTAGTCGAACAATCCATCCTCATTCAGTAACATTATACTTGAATTGAAGCTATTCACTTTTGTGAGTTACAGAATCTTAAATTCTACAGAATCTTAAATTCTTAAGTAAAAGACATCTGGACCCAAAGGCCTCCGGTTCTTATATTTCTTTTGCAGTTGTTTTTCATTAAGTTTTTATACGAAGTGCAAACCCACGTAATGGTGAGTGATTGCATGCATAAACAATGGTAGTAAAAGTCCATTTAATTAATTAATAGGTCGTGGATCATTCATGCAGCATTACCAATCCTCAAAGCAATTAATCAATGATCGACTTAAAAACTTAAACTCCATTTTGCTAGATTTTAAGTTTTGATTTTTATTTATCAGTTACTAGTAAACCATATATTGTAAGAGTCTGATTTTTAAATATAATATTAATCTCAGGGTTCTAAACATAATCACATTAATTATTAATAACAAAAAAATTAATTGCCTAAAGTAAAACCAAAACCTACGGCCCAACTAGACGTGGCTGTTTTAAGTTTTAATATTAGTGATTATTCACTTTAAGAAAGTAATTTTAAAATTATATTATTTTAATAAAATGTTACGAGAAGATATTAAAAATAATATAATTTATACTTTAAAATATAATATTTTAATAATTTTTTAATAAACATTTATTTTAATAACATAATTTTAAAATAATTTTCTTTTTAATTTTTAAAAGATAAAATAAATAAGCACTTTTTCTTTTAATTTTTACAATATAATTTTCCTCAAATATTTAAGATTTGAGCGTTACAAGTATATATGATCACGGTGCTTACAGATTTAGTTTTTATAATTTTGGATGGACGTGGAGCTCAAATTAAGAAATACTGCGATATTTGGTAGTATTTGTTTTGGCCTTTGGAATGATGAAAGATAACTAGATATTTCTTCTTGGTTTTTGTTTTTTAATGGAATCTAGATATTTCTTCTTAATTATGTAAATTATTCGATCTTATTTGCAAAGCATGAGCTTCAAAGGTGTCAACTTGGTTAGTCTTCATATGATTTAATTTAATAGTTAAATTAATTAATTATAAGAAAGAGAGGGAGGTGGGGCAGATACTGAATGTCTTTTCCTTTTAAAAATAATAAAAAGCCAGCCCAGAATGTTGCCTTCCTTGGTTGGTAGTTGGCAAGAGTAAATTGTGTTGGCCTCGTTCATGGTTTTAGACTTTTTAATTTCCAAACAAGGGTTTACTTAGTGTTTGTGGGGTTTGGAAAATCCATTACATAAGAATTAAATTGTTTGATCCAAATCGGACAAAACCGTGTTTTTAACATTTTTAAAATATTACCAACTATATGAATAATTTAATAATAATTTTTTATCAATAAAAATTTTAAAAAAAATTTAAATTTGAGTTATACAACATGCAAATTGAGTGAATTAAGATATCTCATTATGCAATTTAAATTTTTATATAAAAAAAAATCATCAAGATACTTTAAATTTTTTTTTCTTTTTCATTGTAGGTATGTAGTCTCTTTTTTTTTGACAAAAAAAAATATTATTAAATTAATATCTATTTCAAAAGAGTCGAGTCTGAAACTCAACCTGCGTTTCATCTACGTCTTACTTTAGAGACTCAACATGCATTCCACCTACCTCTCACTTTAAAGATCCCAACCTGCGTTCCACCTACCTCTCACTAAGAAGTCCCAACCTGCATTCCACGTACCTCTCACTTTGGAGACTTAACCTGCATTTCATTTGCCTCTCACTTTAGAGAAGCGTAACCATTACTGCAGTCACAAGGGAGAATCCTAGGTATGTAGTCGATTGATATAACAAAAAGAGTATATTCGCGGGCGCATGTGTACGGGGTCTACCACACAAATACAAATATGAAATTCAATTGCACAACCACTTATGCCATCAGGATAAGGCCGGAATGCCGCCCTGAAGTCAAAATTCAGTTAACAAGTCGAAAACTTTCAAGTGTACATCCTCCAACTGAAGTTACAAATGAATTTAATCAAATCATACAATGAAGCACTAATCAAATCATACAATGAAGCACTAGCACTGGTTCTTGGACTTCGACACATTTGAGAAATAATCAACAGAAAGCGCCATGATACAATAGTTAGTTGAGAGCCAGAACGAGACTCGTGTAATCTCACTGAAACTCATGCCTCGACATCTGAACGTGTTGGAAAACTTAGGCCCCTAAGTGCTGGTATGTTGTCCAGATCCTCTTTTGAGAACAATGGGAAGAACCATAATGCCTTCTTTTTGCCAAATACCTTGAACAGGGAACAGGAATTGTCAGAAGAGTTAAAAGAGTGTTATGGCTTATCTTTCAAAGGAACTTAAATAGAGGCCTGCGTTTCCCACTCCTTTTAGTTTTTGTGTACTCACATGAATTAGATGTTAAATAACTTTAAACCCTTTGCATATACATATCGTAAGAAAATTAGTTTAACCAAAGACTTGCCTAGCATGTTTAGTTACAAGGTAGCAGAGTGTTCTTAGCCTCATGGATAAATAAAAAAGGAAAGCCAAAAAAGAATGCTCAGCATGTACCACCTGCTCAAAATTCCTTTTCCTGCCCAAATCATACTTCCATCTGATTGCCCCTTTTTTCTCATGAACCTGAAATAGAGTGTAAAAAGAAAGGTATGCATAAGCAACCCAAACCTTCTCTAAAAGAGGAAAAAATTACGTGACAGCTTATGCTCTCATAAGATGTGAGCAATTTCCCCATAATTCTGCTATCTCATTGTTCAGAAGTCATTTGAAGCACTAATAGTCCAACAGCTTTATCAGCTTTGTATTTTGTGGAAAACATAATTGCCAATAGAGTAAGAGATTAATTAGTAAGCATTTCTCTAACTATAGGTCCTGACTCAGCTGGTATTTCTTTAAATAACAGCCCCAAATTTTAAATACATTCTTAAAAACAGGAACATGCCACACCAAAACCAACCTCCACCACTCTACCATATATATAAACAGTACAAGAGAACATAAACAGAAGACAATGGTTGTATTCATTACCTCTACAGATGTAGTGTTGCTTGATAGAAGAGATGCATGCATAACTACGAAACAAAGAAGACTCAGCGCAAAAGCCAAATTAAGAACTGCATCAAGGTACAGAATCTGTAAGAAACATTAGAACAATGAGAATGGAGAATGATTTGCAGAGATGAAAATTAATTAATTTGAACTGACTACTTACCAAAAGCCAAAAAGATTATCGCTAAATTGCCAGGACTAGATGAATGATTCTTCGCTTCACTAAAGAACTCGATAAAACTTGGTAGCAATACAAGAACATCCATTGTTGTCTCCAAAAGCGTATAAAGCTTTCAAAAGGACAACAAGACGTCAGGAAATGCAAGAAAGGAAGAACGAGTCAGAAACCCAGCCAGCCCTCAACGAAAAGCTGGAAGGTAGACATGATTCTTATTCCAAATTACAAAACCACTAGATAACACATAAGAGATATTACCAAAAAGAGAAGGAAAAACTTGTAGTTGCGAGCTCCAACACAATTCACAACCCAGACACAATGGTGGTCCATCTTCAGAACACATCTTTGACCTATACAAACATAATGGACAAAGTTATGAAGCAATCAATATATTTTATAAATCATCTTAATTCATTCTCTCCCTTCCATTCCAAGGATGCCAAGTAAAGCCAGCCTTACTACTACATAGATGTGAAATTCTTAGATGTAAACAACAATTTAGTTCTCAATGGAAGATACAAGATCCATGAATGGTGAAAGTAGCTTTAAGAGAGTATCATGTCAAGGAATTAATATGCAATTCAAAAACAGAACTACTCATTAATTTTTCAAGCAATTTGACTACAAAGAACCAAGTTTACTTACAGATAGAGCAATGGTGGCAGCGTGGTGGCTTGCCATTTTGGCAATGAGCACAGTAGCCAGCAGTCGGCCTTCCATCTAGTCTATCAGAAGTCTCCGGTGGAGCATCGACGGAAGAACCGCCGGCCTCCAAATTGTTCTCTGCCGATACCAATCTCCAATTTTCAGGAACAGAACCAGGGTCCGTAAATACAACCATAAAATAGCACCACACTAACATGAAAAGCTGAAAAATATAAAAACTTTCGCTGGATTAGCCAATGTCAATATCAATTTCTTTTCTTTACAAGGTAAAGTTCCAATCTTTGCTAAAAAAATTTCACATCGACCAAACAGCACGAAAAGTCAAAATTACCAGGACATGGAATGCTATGATTATCAGAAAGGCCAAAAGGGATTGTAGTCCACCGCGAGACAACTGAGGTGCCCAGGTGAGCAGGACGACGGCGTAGTAGGAGACGCCGATTATTGCGGCGACGAGGAGTATCATGAAGTAGCCGAGCACCTTGAGGGCGGAGCAAAACTTGAATAGGTTGATATCCATAAGGGGATTAAATCGGCGGCCGATCCCGATCTGGGGAATGATTGGGAGTGGCGGCCTCCTGTTTCGCGGCGGAAATAGGCGTTTCCAGATGTCTGGAGCCAGGTTTAGGTTGGCTGAAGATGGAATTGGGGTTTCCTTGTTCTGGAAAGTAGAAAGCCGTGCGGTAAAGAAAGAGTTTTAGAAAGTAAATTGATTGACTGATTGATTGGAAGTAGAATTAGAACGCAGTAACTTTACATCCGGGTCCTGAAAACACACCACTAGTTTGTTTTTATTTTATTTTTTAGATTGAGACCTTAAAAATTATTTTAGAATGTCACAGTCACAGAGAGGGCGTTGGGATTTATTATTTAAATATAATTACAGTTAAACGTTAATTTAGGTCCCTCAACTATATAAAGTTGCATCTTTTTGGTTTCTCAATTATTTTTTATACTTATTTTATCCCTCAACTCTAAAAACTGCACAATTTTGGTCATTTTGTCAATTTAGGCCGTTAATTTCATCCACGTGACATTTTTTTTATTCTTTTTGATTATGTGGAGAAGACAACCCAAAAAAGTGTTGATATAGACAAAATATTATGTCATGTTATATTAATGCGAATCAAATGCTCCAAAACCTCTCAAATGGGTCTCACATTGTCTACAAAGAACCAATAAAGGGGTTAAATGTTTTATGAACCCTAGAATGCTCTCTCATCTCCACTCCATCTACAAAATCGATCTTAACTCATATTTTCTTTTTCTCTGAATGCTCTCTCATCTCCACTCCATCAAATTAACTCCTCAATAAACAATGTTAATCAAACCTTAATCAAATTCCAACATAAATGCAATCAAATTGTAAATCAACTCTCAAATTTATCAAGAACTGGGAATGAAAATTGAAAGAAGAATGAGAAATTATGGTAAACTTGACAAACTCAGCTCTAAAGAAGAATAGAAATCAACATAACCTAGTTCTAAACCTAGCAGCTAGGTTTCTTTGCTGGATTTTGTCGAACCTAGTTGATTTGGGTTCCATCGAACCCAGCTGTTGGGTTCGATGGAACCCAACAAAGCTAGGTTTTGTTGAACCAGCAAAGTTGGGTTCGACAACCAATAAAGCTGGGTTTTGTCAAACCTAGTAGCTGGATTCAATGGAACCCAACAAATCTAGGTTCGGTGGACACTGAACCCAGTTGCTGGGTTCTATTCCACCGAGCTAGAGGTAGGAAAGAGAAAGAAAGAAGGGGAAGAAGATGGATCAAGAGGGTGAAGGCTAATAATGTAATTTTGTTTGTTTTTATTTCTTGTTATTAAAATATAAATATTCAATTGATGTGGCATTTTTATTTATCTATGTAACACAATTATAATATATGTTATTGCCACATCATCAAAAGAATTAAAAGAAAATGTCATATGGAATTATTTAACGACCACATCATGCTTATTTGACGAAGGGACCAAAATTATGCAATCTTTAGATTTGAGGGATAAAAAAAATATAAAAAATAGTTGAGAGACTAAAATTGTGTAATATTATAAAGTTGAGGGACCAAAATTAACATTTAACCTATAAT